TAGCTAAATAAAAAAATATTGCAGGAACAATTGCATGCCAGCATGATAGTATATTTCTGATTTAGAGTGCAATATCAAAAGCTGTTAGCATCGGTGTGTTCGACAAATCAGTTCTGTGTGGGGTTGCTATTAACGTGTTATCCCAAGGAAGCCAGCAAGGTCCAAGTCCAAGGAAACCTACTCCAATAAAAATCAGACAAGCATTGCAGGTTGGTATTCTTTGCGAATAATATTATATAATAGTCACAATAATTAATTAATTTAATGCCAATGCTGACTTTCAATTATTAAGTTGGTTAGTCTTGGTTAAATCATATCTAGTAAAATTCAATAACATATTTTTTGCAGTTGCTACAAAGTATGTCACAAAATTTCAAAGAAAAAAACTTTCTCGAAATTTTCATAATAACGGTGGAGCAAGATTATACGAAACGTGGAATCGCGTCACGGCTATGTGTGAAGTATATTATAAACTTTGTTATTTTTTTCAATAGTTTCAATTTTTAATGTAAACTGAGTGAGTGTGTCTTTTGATAGGGGAAAATTTTTTCTGTGGTCCGCGCTATTTTCGTGAATAACAAATATTGTAGTTATGTATTTAAAAAAAATCCTACTTGGGAATATTTTTATTGTTCTTGCCAGTGATTATGATGGCATTTCCCACCAAGTCTAGCAAGACTCTTCCGAAAACTGGTCGGCCACCAATGAGTTTGAAAAGTGTTTAATGGAATGTTCATCATCTAAAATTCGAAATAAAACATTTCATCGCATATTGTTTGCTGACAGGAAAATATTATTCAAATAGATAAATGTTAGTCTGATCATATAGCCAAGGTTATGAATGATAACACAATTGGCGATAACCCTGGGCACATCTACAATGATCTGTTGATTGATATTAATACTCAGTAGCGCTATATAGTTACTAATAAAAACAAATTTGATTCACAGATCTGAAGAAATAGCAAGAAAACTCGGACTTAGTTGTGTGTCAATAACTTGCACAAGCGCCTATATGCAAAGAGCAGCGAACCGCCTGGGTTACCAAACGATGGAAAAGACTTTTTATAAAGACTACATCGATCCGATCACAAGTGAAAAAATATTCGAGACAATGCCCGAACCACACGAGTGTTGTTTATTCATGATCAAGCGTCTTTAGATGTACCAGCTATAGTGAAAAATATATTATTCAGAACTTGGGATGAGATAGTCAATTCTTAGATGTCTGACCTCAGTATTACCAACAAAGTTTATCTTTTTATCTCCAACGTCCGATTTCAAATGAAAAGATATGACAATGAAGAGCATCCATAACTTCGCAGACTCGTGGTATGACCAGAAGCCAACGTTCATGTATGACCTATCTCAGTTTAGGTATTATTAATAAATAAAATAAACAATTCAAATTATATCTTTATATACTCCAGAAAGTTAGACACCAACCCAGAAATCATGAGGGTATTCTGATTGAGTGCTTTAAAAAAAAAAGCTTAATATTGTATGTTACACAGAAACACTCCACAAATGATTGTTATTTGGATGAGCACGTAAAATCAGTTGTTACGGCAATTTCGAAACACTCTTTTTTTATCCATATAATTGTGTAAAATTCGCCATTTTTTCAGAATTATCATTTTTAAATCTTTATAATTGGTTTTTAGTAATAAAATATACAGTAAGTATTTGCAAAATCTGTATACCAGCTTGTACGGTATTCGACATATTATAAAAAATTGTCTATTGGAGTGATATTTCTTACTTCCGTAGCGATATAAATGTATGACAGCTTAATTATAATACAGAGTCTTCGAGGTTCTATTCATCTAAATTGTATTCTGGTTAAACGCACAATGTTGCGCGCTTGGTATTCCATAACATCGTACATATTTGCATTGGTCCTGTATACACACTTGTAGACGATGACACGAGCAAATCAAATTAGTGAATTATTATTGAAATCGCATTTTAAAAAACCCGGGTTTTAGTTATATAACAATATAGAACAAATTTCGATTGCCTGTTCGTCTTATATAATAATGACATCGATTTTTAAAGGCACTGCGAATAATCAAAACCCGGGCGCTGTATATAAAAGACAACCTATACACATCAACGTAGCTCTGGATTAAGTCATCATATCAATTCAAGTGCTATTTGAAAAGCGGGAACAAGCAGTCATCGTCTGTTGGCAGATATAACCAATGCTGACGATCGCAATGTTGAACACTATCAATATTTTGTTGGCATGAATTTACGATCGTACTAAACTTTTTGCCTTCGTCTTTGATTGATTGGAAAAGTTGATTTACAGGAACTAAGATGATGTTTTTTGGTACTTGGATAGGTATGTCAGATATTAACGGCTCCTTTAAGATTTAGTAGAGAAAATAGACGTAACATACAGCGTTACAATATTCCTAGTTAATCCCCGAATTGAAATAGTCACACGAAGATGGCGCTCAACCCCTCGCCTAATCGAGAAATCCTAACCGAATGCAGTTCATGAAGGAAACTCGAGTGAATTTCTGTAAAATACCCGGAATGGATATTTATGTGTAATGGAAACAGTTTATTGTTGCGTGAAATGTGGAATTTTTCAAGATCTTATTGCAATATGTAAAAATTTGGGCATATGACTGAAATTAGTCAGCAATGTGAGGTTAGTTTGGAATATTCTGAAAAATAGAGTCAACACTGTCCTGCAGTCTGGTTTTAAACAAGTTGGTATTCATATATAAGACTCTTTTTCTACTGAACCACTAATCTTAATTAAGTCGTTTCATATTCTCGACAACAGATTGAATGTCAAATATTCATTTATCTAAAATCCAAATAAATCACACGTGAGACAAGACTTCTTCCTTCTATTTTCAATGTTGTATGTGGCAGTTTTCTTCGTCTCGTGAAAAGAATGGCTTTTGATTTTGTTTTCGAGAGGCGAAACCACCAATCATTGCACCAGTAATTAATATTGTCTAGATTAGTTTGGATCTTTGTAAAAAGATGATCAATACGTAACTCAACTTCCCAAATACTGCAGTCGTCCGCAAAGAGAGCTATGTTTGAAGAAACACACTGGGGCAAATCGTTTGTCATAACATTAAAAAGAAGTGGGGATAAAACGCTACCTTGAGGAATTCCGTTATCGAGCTTGATTATATCGGACATTGTGTTGCCGATACGGACTTGAAAGGTACGGATCGACAAAAACGATTTAATCCACATAAAAGATCGACCACGTATCCCAATATTATACAGTTTGTATAAAGACCACAACGCCAGACCATGTCGTAAGCCTTTTCTATACCGAGAAACACTGCTAGAACAGATCTTTTATTTGCCAAAGCTTTATAGATATCATCATGTATTCGAAGGATATTATCGATTGTTGAGCGATGATTTCTAAATCCAGATTGTTTCGTCGTTATCAAACTAAACTTTTCAAGATACCATTTGAGCCGGTTTGCAATTAGTCGTTCCATTACCTTACATAAGTTGGACGTCAACGAAATGGGTCTGAACTCTGAATGATGATATAAGATTATTTGGTTTGCTAGATTTTAATATGGGAACTACGATGGAGTGGCGCCAATGAGCTGGTAATTGTCCTTTTACCCAAATAAGATTAAAAAGTTGTAGGAGTATTATTTTGCATTTATTGGGCAAGTGTCTGAGCATAGGATAACATATTTCATCATATCCGGGAGATGTATTCTTTCTCGGTCGCAAAACGTTGTCTAGTTCCCATTCCGAAAAAGGAACATCTAGAATGCCGTCCGTATCTTTTACTTCAACTTGACAACTTTTTTCAAACTGTAATTTTCTGATTAAAAAGTTCGTGGAATAGTTATCGGATGAGCTGACTGATGTAAAATAATGTCCAAACGCATTGACTTTTTTGGAATCATCAACCAAAGTACGATTTTTGTCAACTATTGCTGGTATTTTAAATTGATTGTTACCTATATTAGACATTGCGCGAACTGTTCGCATTAGTTGCGTAACGTTTGAGTTTTTGCTGAGAGAACTACAATGGTTTTGCCAACAGGTCTTTTTTGCCTCTAATATTCCGCGACGTGCGTTTGCTCTGCAGCGTTTAAAATTAATTATATCGATAGGTGACATGGATCATTTCATCCTGTTGTAAGCTTTTCGTTTCAGTCTTATAAGTTTGGAGCATTCATCATTCCACCAAGGGGTTGCTGGTTTTTTATATGGTTTAGTTTTGGGGATAGACATTCTAGCAACCGTAACAAGCGAATTTGTGAAATTGTCGCAAAATACTTCAACGTCTTCAGATTTTATTACATCTGATATATGGGTATCTGAAAGTCGATTAAATTTATCCCGGTTCGTTCGTTTGAATGCCCAATTTGGTTTGGATTGGTCTGACATTGACGTCCTAATATCAACAGATGTTGTAATTGGTGACCGTACATTTGAACCCATGTACATTTGAACCCATGCGTATATCCACGGGTTCAATCTATATGCGGGTGCTAAAACCCATGGGTTAGGGTTAGTATGGGTTTAACTATCCGTGAAACAAAAAAAAATCCATAGGTGCAATAGCATACAGGTGCAATTGTCATGGGTTCAAATGTACGTGGGTTCAAATGTAATGGAACCGTTGTAATTATGTAATGGTCGCTCCCGGTTAGTTCGTCTGATACGCGAGTGACGCATCTGTGTGCAATATTAGCACTGGCGAGAGAGAGGTCTAATAGCGAACTATGATTACTAGCATTAAGATGGATATTCAATCTAGTTGAACAAGTATTCAGAACGACATAGGAATGTAGGTCAATCAACTTAGAAAGTATATACCCAGATGTGTTGCAGTATGAATTTCTAGCTTGTCATACCGGTAATCAATATTCTACGTATAATGGCAAGCTTTACTACATTGTCAAACAGTTCATACATTGCTTTTAATAGAAAACTTTGAAATGTCTTAATGTCTCTCTAAATGTCTTAAATTATAGACTAGATAAATAAGTTCTAACACTACTTGTATTGTCAAAAATAATTTTGTTTTATATTGGATTTGATTTTTTTAAATTGAATATAACGTCGACGATACCTAATTCGTCAGTTTAGTTACTGATTGTATAAATGGGAGACTTCGGGTTAGAATATCGAATCTTGGAAATTGGTGATATGGAGGACACAATGGTATTTTTGCTCAAAAATTTAATTTCTAGGCAACCGGTTTCTTTACATCTGAATGTTAACAAAGGTGACTGGAAAACACACTTCACGCCAATTTTGGAGGTAAAAAGCTAAATCAGGGTGGTCCAAGGTTGCGAGGTTGGCGGGCCGCAAAAAGTTTTGAGGATGCCTTGCGGGCCGCAGTCGGAAAAAACCCCAAAGTGATCAAAACATCGCGAGTATACTCACTTTACCTATATTTAAAAATGGGAAATTACCGTTCTCATCAATTTTTTGAAGAAGATATATAAGCGTTTAGTTATTTTAAAAATTGCTTCCCGAGAAATACCGTGATATTTTCTCGTATTTGATTTTGTAATGTCGCTTCAAATTATATTCTTTCGTGACAGATATTTCTTGAAAGCACTCCACCACGCGACCCATCTCATCGGCTTGGTTCCGTCTGCACCAAACAATTCATTCTTCTTGTACCGATCACAGGACGTCATTCCCATACTGGCACTTTCTTGGCGTTCATAGATGCAACATTGAAATTCCCCTATTTTAACAAACATGAATTACGTTCTTGGGATTAGGAAAAGGCTAGTCCCATTGGGAATTGTTTGAAAATAACTAACCAATAAACTGCCGATAAATGCAAATATCTGCCAATGGTCTAGTGCAGTGATTCCCAAAGTGGGCGATATCGCCCCCCAGTGGGCGAAAACGAAACAGAGGGGGGCGAAAAAGTCTAAGGGGGCGATAGGGGGGCGATTTCGCGAAACCTGTTTTATGTTTAGCGCACTTAATTCTGTACGCTGTGTGCATTCGCAGGCTTGAATCATGTGGGCGATCATTGACTTATTTGATTTATATTTAAATTTCCGAAAAACAACTAAAAACTAACGAATATAATTCAAAAACGCAAAAATGAGACGACGAAATGTTCACGACCACGCCTGAAAATCTGTCTGAGTGAGGGTGTCTGAGCGCCTGAGCGGATGCGAAAGGGGGCATTGTTACGTTTTTTGCATCTTGCTGATTGGCCAATGTCACGAAGTAAACAAGGAAGTCTATGCCCGGGGAAATATCCAAACGGCGGTTTTGACGATGAAGATTTTCTATTTATAATCTACGCTCGAGGAGTAAATTACTTTTTTTTACGTAATAGAATTTGATGTGAGACATGTTTAGACTAAATTATTCTATATCCCAACAATTTAGTGAACAGCGACTCGTTTCACGAGCCTACAATTTAATTATAATTAGACAAATGGAAACACGCAGAAAAGTTGATGCTGAGTGCAGGGGTTCAATAGCGCAGTAAATATTCGAATACATTGCAAAGCAATAAGGAAATAAAATTCATATTCTATTCGAGAGATTCATCACTGCTTAATTTTTGTAAGAATGTATCTTCTTAAAGAAAATATTTATCAAAATTTCACAAATAATGCGAAAATATTCACTTCGATGTTTGGAAGTACATATTTGTGCAAACCATTATTTTCGAAAATGAGTATTACAAAGAACAAGCAAAGAAGTGGGTTCGGTGATGCCCATTTAGAAAATGTTTCAATCTTGGCGTCGTAAAGCTATTCAGCGTGATGCAGCAACAAGACAGTGTCACTTTAAATGTCATTGTAATAGCTTTTCAATAAGACGACTAAGTTGAGTTCACGAATTGTCGCAGTTTTCGCGCGCTGTTCCGTTTTTAACTTTCAAAAAATATATGCGACCCGCAAAAGACTAGCAACCCTGAATTTTGTCCTGCAAGCGACATAAAATTTGCCGACCCCTGGGCCGTAGCCGATAGTCAGTCACGGCTTCTTCCACATCCGAGTCCATGAATCCAAAAGCAAATGGCTGGTTAATTATGGAATGGTGATCGGACTGGTGGCCGTGATAGGATGAGGAATCGGGGATGAATTTTTCCGAAGTATTTTAGTGCAGGTCATCAGGCTGTACAAATGAATGAGATGTACGAATTATTATAACTTTGGGTTAATTAACTTTTTTTATTATTTTAATGTGAAATGGGGTGAATTTAGGAAGTGAAATGCTATAAGGGAAGAGTACACGGCGGTTTTTGAGGAGGTAGAACCCTGGATTCTTTCATTTCCGACCTATTATATGGTGAAAAAGGGGTTTTCAGCCGTGCTACTATTGCTATTAAAACAACGAAATCAGTGCAAATCACCTTTCAATCAGTAAACGGGGTACTTTTAGATATAATAAAAAACTCGCTGAAGAACACCAAGCTCATCTATCTCATTAAAAAACACTGTAAACTATGATTTGTCTTCATATTATATATTTTTTGTAGTGCAGGGGGGCGATGAAGTTGTATAAACTACTTTAGGGGGGCGATGGTCAAAAAAGTTTGGGAACCAATGGTCTAGTGCACGCTAAAATTGTGCCATATGTGGTCGGGCCGCATGCGGCCCGCGGTTTGGACCACCCTGAGTTAAATAGTAATATTTCAGAGCATGCTTTTATAGTATATTTCTGATTTAGAGTGGAGTATCACAAGCTGTCAGCATCGGTGTGTTCGACAAATCAATTCTGTGTGGTGTTGCTATCAACTTGTTATCTCAAGTAAGCCAGCAAGGTCCAAGTCCAAGGAAAGCTACACCAATAAAAATCAGACAAGCATTGCAGGTGGGTAATGTTTGAAAAGTAATAATATATAATAGGTGCAATACCACAATTAATTTAATTTAATGTTACTACTGACTCCCAATTGTTAAGTCAGTTAGTCTTGGTTAAGTCACATGTAGTAAAATTCAATAACAATATTTGTTGCAGTTATTACAAAGTATGTCACAAAATTTCAAAGAAAAAAACTTCCTTGAAATTTTCATAATTACGGTGAAGCAAGATTATACGAAACGTGGAATTGCGTCTCGGCTATGTGTGAAGTATATTATAATCATTATTATTTTTTCCAATAGTTCCAATTTTCAATGTAAACTGAGTGAGTGTGTCTTTTAATAGAGGAAAATTTCTTCTGTGGTCCGCGCTATTTATGTGAATGACAAATATAGTAGTTATGTATTTGAACAAAAAAAATCCTACTCGGGAATATTTTTTTTGTTCTTGCCAGTGATTATGATGGCATTTCCCACCAAGTCTAGCAAGACTCTTCCAAAAACTGGTGGGCCACCAATCGGTTTGAAAAGTTTTTAATTATAGGAAAGTAAATCATCTAAAATTCTAACTAAAACATTTCATCGCAATTTGTTTGCTGACAAGAAAATATTGATAAATGTAAGTCTGATAAGGTTATAAATGATAACAAAATTGGCGATAACCATGGGCACATCTACAATGATCTGTTGATTGATATTAATACTCAGTAGCACTATATAGTTACTAATAAAACAAATTTGATTCCCAGATCTGAAGAAATAGCCAGAAAACTCGGACTTAGTTGTCTGTCAATAACTTGCACAAGTGCCTACATGCAAAGAGCCGCGAACCGCCTGGGTTACCAAACGATGGAAAAGACTTTTTATAAAGACTACATCGATCCGATCACAAGTGAAAAAATATTCAAGACAATGCCCGAACCACACGAGTGTTGTTTATTCATGATCAAGCGTCTTTAGATGTACCAGCTATGGTGAAAATATATTATTCAGAACTTGGGATGAGATAGTCAATTCTTAGATTATGATCTCAGTATTACCAACAAAGTTTATCTTTTTAACTCCAACGTCCGATTTCAAATGGAAAGATATGAGAATGAAGAGCATCCATACTTCGCAGACTCGTGGGATGACCAGCAGCCAACGTTCATAAATGACCTATCACAGTTTGGGTAATATTGTATGTTACACAGAAACACTCCACAAATGATTTTTTTTTGGGGATTAGCTCGTAGAATCAGCTTTTACGCAATTTCGAAACACTCTTTTTTATCCATATAGTTGTGTAAAATCCGCCATTTTTTTAGAATTATCATTTTTAAATCTTTACAATGGGTATTTAGTAATAAAATATACAGTAAATATTTGCGAAATCTCTGTACCAGCTTGTACGGTATTCGACATATTATAAAAAATTGTCTATTGGAGTGATATTTCTTACTTCCGTAGCGACATAAATGTATGACAGCTTAATTATAATACTTCTTCGAGGTTCTATTCGTCTAAATTGTATTCTGGTTAAACGCACAATGTTGCGCGCTTGGTACTCCATAAAATCGTACATATTGTCCTGTTTACACACTTGTAGACGATGACACGAGCAAATCAGATTAGTGAATTATTATTGAAAACGCATTTTACAAAACCCGGGTTTTAGTGATATAACAATATAGAACAAAGTTCGATTGCCTGTTTCTTATATAAGAATGACATCGATTTTTAAAGGCACTGCGAATCAAAGCCCGCGGGCGCTGTATATAAATGACAACCTATACACATTAACGTAGCTCTGGATTAAGTCATCATATCAATTTAAGTGCTATTTGAAAAGCAGGAACAAGCAGCCATCGCCTGTTGGCAGATATGACCAATGCTGACGACCGCAATATTGAACACTGTCAATATTTGGTTGGCATGAATTTAAGATCGTATACTAATCTTTTTTTCCGTTGGATGTCTTCGATTGATTGAAAAAGTTGAATTACAGGAACTAAAATGATGTTTCCAATACTTGGATAGTTTTGTCAAAAATGATCGTCTGCATTAAGATTTAGTAGAAAAAATAGACGTCCTACTTAATCCCCGAATTGAATAGTCACACAAAGATGGCGCTCAACCCCTCGCCTAATCGAGAAATCCTGAACGAATGCAGTTCATGAATCAAACTCGAGTGAATTTCTGTAGAATATCCGGAATGGATATTTATGTGTAATGGAAACAGTTATTGTTGTGTGAAATGTCGAAATCTTTAAGATCTTATTGCAATATGTAAAAATTTGGGCATATGACTGAAATTAGTCAGCAATGTGAGGTTAGTTTGGAATATTCTGAAAAACAGAGTCAACACTGTCCTGCAGTCTGGTTTTAAACAAGTTGGTATTCATATATAAGACTCTTTTTCTACTGAACCACTAATCTTAATTAAGTCGTTTCATATTCTCGACAACAGATTGAATTTCAAATATTCCTTTATCTAAAATCCAAATAAATCACACGTGCGACCTATGCACATAAATACATACCGTTGACTGAGATTTCCAAGTTTGACATATCTTAGCGGTATTTTATCATTTCTGGTTGATGATTACATTCAATGAGAAATATATTTAATACATTTTAGAAAACTGTTTTTTTATCAAGCTTTCTGTACGTCAGCATGTCGATGCCTACATGGAGGTCAACAGCATTATTTTGGGAAATGAATATCAAGACGGTTGCTTGAAAAATAACTTTGTTTTATATTACCTTTGATTTTTTTGGTCGACGTCGACTATAGCTTTTTAACAAGTTTCGTTAATGGTTGTATTAATGAAAGACTCCGGGTTAGAATATCGAATATTACAAATTGGTGATATTTAAGAGAAAGACATCATGGAGTTTTTACTTAAAAATTTCACCTATATAAGCAACCGTGTTTTTCACATCTGATGTAGATAAAACTGATTGGGAAACACACTTCACGCCAAATCTAGAGGTAAATAGCTAAATAATAATATCGAAGGAATAATTGCATGCTATGATAGTATTTCTGATTTAGAGTGGAATATCACAAGCTGTCAGCATCGGTGTGTTCCACAAATCAATTCTGTGTGGGGTTGCTATTAACGTGTTATCCCAAGTAAGTCAGCAAGGTCCAAGTCAAAAGAAAGCTACACCAATAAAAATCAGACAAGCATTGCAGGTTGGTATTCTTTGCAAATAATAATCTATAATAGCTACAATAATAAATAATTTTATTGCCAATGCTGACTTTTAATTGTTAAGTCAAGTTAGTCTTGGTTAAATCATATCTAGTAAAATTCATCAACAACATTTCTTGCAGATGCTACAAAGTGAGTCCCAAATCTTAAAAAAGAAAAGGTATTTTGAAATTGTCATAGTTACGGTGAAGCAAGATAACACGAAACCTGGAATCGCGTCTCATCTATGTGTGAAGTATATCATATTCTTCATTATTTTTCCGATAGTTTTATATTTAAATGTAAACTAAGTGAGTGAGTGCGTCTTTTGAGAGAGAAACATTTGTTTCAGTGGTCCATGTTATTTCTGTGAATGACAAATTTTGTGGTTGTGTATTTCACGAATGGTAATCGGGAATACTTTTATTGTTTTGTTCGTTCAGTTGTTATGATGGCATTTCGGCGACTGCGACAGACTGTTGCTGCGTGTTGGAGTCATCAATGAAACTACCAAAAAGTCCGGGAATGTGAAAGAAACCAAGGCAGCAACAAAGGTCAATAAAAAAACAGGAGCAAAGAAGTGACTGGAAACATCTAGCGCACATCAACAGCCTAAACTCAAAATTGTCCAGTCCTGTTCACACAGAACCCATGTTTTATTGATATAAGAATATATAACAAAATTCGATAGTCTGCTTGGTTTATACGAATGACATCGATTTTTAAAGGTATTGTGAGACCAACCCAGGCCTCTGTTACTCTGTATAAGACAACCTAACCAGACCAACGTAGCTTTGAATGAGGTCATCATATCATTTGAGGGCTATTTGAAAAGCGGGAACAAACAGTCTTCGTCTGTTGGCAGATATGTACTATGCTGACGACCGCAATATTGAACACTGTCAATATTTGGTTGGCATGAAGTTACGATCATACCAAACTACCTACTTAATCCCGGACGGAAAAGCCACACAGGAGATGGGGTTCTACGCCATTTCCTGTGTGGCTTTTCCATCCGGGATCCGGCCTTATCGAGACAATTCCAAACGAATGTAGTTAGTGAAGGAAATTCGAGTGAATTTCTGTGAAATATCCGCGAATTGGAAAAGATTTATTGTTGTGTAAAGTGTAAAAATCTTCAATATCTTATTACAATATGTAAAAATTTGGGCATATGACTGAAATTAGTCAGCAATGTGAGGTTAGGTTGAAATACTCAATAGAGTCAAAAAAAAAATAGAGTCAACACTGTCCTGCAGTCTGGTTTGAAACGAAAAGAGACGATGAATTATGTGTATTCGTATATAAGACTCTGTCTACTGAACCACACATCTTTATTAGGTCGTTTCATATTCTCGACAACAGATTGAATATCAAATATTCTCATATATATATATCTAAAATCCAAATAAATCACTCGTGCGACTTATACACATAAATATGCGCCGTTGACTTAGCTTCCCAAGTTGGACATATTTCAGCGGTATTTTATCATTTCTGGTTAATGATTACCTTTAATGAGAAACATTATTACAGTTTAAAGATATGGCATTGAGTGCATGGGCGACAGCAAGTCACATGATGATGATGAATTGCGAATTAGTGAAAGGTAAACTGATAATTTATCATAAATTGGATTTAGTAAATATACTATTAATTTAGACTCCTTAGTTTAGCTATGTGTTGGTCTATGTTACGTCTCGCATGTCCAACTAAATGTCTGTCTGCTAGTTGCAATTCTGTTTTCCAGTATACGTATTCGGGTTAGAATAATGGAGTACGATATTTAACGTATTTGGTACATACTTACGTTTGGATTTGTTGCCCCACAGAAACACTATACTCATTTCGAAGTAATTGCTTATTATCAAGCTTTCTGTACGTCAGCATGTCGATGCGTATAGGGACTAGGAAGATGAACAGCGGGATTTTGTGAAATAAATATCAAGACGGTTGCTTGTATCTAGGCATTGTGTATAATGTTAGCATGTGGAAGTTCGTATGTTCCAAGTTCAGGAGACACTTGATTTTTCATGTGTATATTTACTTGAAATATCGGAATTAGTTGAAATAGTATTCGAGAAAAAGGGTGATACTGTATGTGAATGGTCGATATGCTGAGAACAGCGATTGCAAAGAAAACAAACTTATTAGAATTAGTCATATCGTAGTTTACATTAAATTACTCAAATTAAAATAACAATTATTAATAATCTCGAAGAGATATTTTTTAATATTATACAATGCATCTGATTCTACAATAAAAAAATAACATCCTAATAAAATGTATCGTAATATATGATGTCACTATGAATGAACGATGGTACATTCTGCTATAAGACTGAGTTTAGTTGTTCTTGGATTGTTTGAAATTGAACAAAAACGGAAGCGAAGCTTAAGACTGTCCGATAAAATCGCAAACATCATTCGTGCGATGTATATCAATCTTTATTTGCCCTGTACTTCAAGGTTGACAAATATGTTTAACTCCGTGCAATTGAAATGTCAAAATCCTGACTGTTTTAGGATGGAATATATTTAGACTTTGATGGATGACGCGGAACATTTATATAACATACACCTGACTGCTGCACTGTGTCGTTCAATTACAGAAAAATATATATTATATAAACAAAATGTCATGAGGGTTTGTGTACTAGAATAGTTATCCTCCGGCCTAACGTTATATGGATATCGTATAGGTAGGAAATTCATTTTTCAAATTCTACTAAAATTACTTTAAGTACTTTAAAATTCCATGGTATGAAACAGTTATATGTAAAAATTTACTATTACGTAAAGCCTCATTTTAAGACTACTGTGTTTTGTCCAGTTGCCAGAGAAGATATGTATAAAAATATACTATTTTAACGACTCTCGTATAGTGAGTAATTCAATTGATTGCAAAACAGCATTAAATACTACGTCCATTACTTGTAGCATATACATACCACGTCTTAATTCCGCGAGTACATGGAAAAGATAAACATACGTCACTGTTTATGGTCCCGTGGACACAAAAAGACGTAGCAGTCTGAATAAAGTACGCCGTCGACAACGCGTGATTGTTATTACCAATACCAATTCATACATTTCCATTGAATGGATATGTAAGGTGCACAATAGCCCGCTTTGTACGAAACCAAACGTATTGGCTACTACTCATAGTGCTTTTTGGTAGATTTCGATAAGTACATAAACCAGGAATAGAAATTCAGACGAACGTAATACAGTAAAAAGTTTATGTACAGCTGCGGTTGATATTATGCTTACTGAACCAATAGCACAATATCTTACTAAAAGATCAAGGGGTGCACAGAATCAATTCTTGTAGTACATATGTACTGCCGTTGGGTATATCTAATATGGAATTTTGTCATATATTACTCAGCTAAATGGAATTATGGCATATATTAGGACCATGTACTAAAGTATCGCATATTTTCAAAAATATGTATTACTACTTTATTATGCTCACATATCGACTACCTATAATTGCGTTACAACCCACCCTTAACGTCATAAATTATCTCACAACGCAGGAAGTAAGAGAGGGAAGCAGATAGACTGTTTAAATAGGAAATAGAAACAAAGTGGCCAATAGGTCGTTTATCGGATATCAAAGTGTGCCGGTGATAAAAGTAATTGGGATAATTGGAAAGCAAACGTGACTTAATGATATCCAAGGAAATTTAGGTTAATGCCTGAGGGCCATGGGAAGCTCATGATCACATATAAGGTAGATATTTACATATGGTTTATCTGAAGATAGGATAAAAAATATAGAATAAAGGGGAGCGATTTGTTTCTAAATACGGTATGATGTCATTGCCATCATTTCAGCGCAATAGATATTGTTGAAACTCTTCTTATACAAGCGGCTTGCTGTTTGTTCGATTGTTCTGGACTACTATAAAATGGTGAAGTGCTTAGTCCTTTTGCTTCGGAGCAAAAGTAATTTTAGATTATGAACAACTGAATAAATCGCAAACGATGATGAAACAGAATTTCTTCGATTCTTAAATGCCTTGAGTAAATTACTTTAAAAACAAAGCTAGTAACGTAACTTGGCCAACCTTGCAGAGGTACTTCAAATTCAATGATTTGCTGTATCGAATTCTAGACTGATTTCCCTTACAATGCGCATTGTGGCATCTGTATACCGGCGAAACGTACCGGCACTTTGATTGGAGCGAAAACGAGTGATGTAATGCAATAGCACGTTATATATTTTGACCAAATCTTAAAATATCCTTACCATTTTCAGATAAAGGTACTAAATAGTGTATAATAATTATTATTAGAATAGGTCTAGATTCAATCTGCGTTTACCCGAGGATTTTGTATAATATACCTCATATTTAGATATACAGGAATAGTGTATTTGTTACAGTGTTATTTGTTATAGTGTGTCTTTAAACGTGGCAAACGAGAAGAATATTTTTTACAGGACAGCCGTAGGCAATAGCGGACGAAGTATCAGCTTAAATTCAATATTAATTTGAAATATTATCATTTGCGTTTTAACTTTTAACACCTTTTTTAAAAATTGCATATTTGTTATTATATTTATAATAACCAAAATTTTAGTTGGAATTCAGTACGAAAATTTCATGTAAACGAATGCTCTTTCTTGTATATGTCCCAAACCATCGATTTTCCTAACTCACGGATATAGTTTACCAAACTCTGGAATAGTGTACGCTATGCAACTTGTTAGGTTTAATTCCACTTCAAGAGCAGTGCTTAATTGATAAGAGGGTATTGTGTGTTTTCAGTTAAGAAATGATATACTAGGATCTTGCTCATTTTAAGCTTGATCATGCGCTAAGTTATGCGTGATACATTCGGCCTTATGCACATGAGGGTGAAGGCTTTTGAGAGTTGAGAGACCGTGACTACAGAGCTAAAACTTTTATAAGCTGTATTGAACGATTTTCATTGCAGTGTTAACTTGCCTACTCTACCGTCTGCGTTGGTTTGAAATATTTTTACTTCGGATCATGCACGCACGCTTAATAAAGGGTACTTTTATGATTTCTCTATTCACGCCAACGGATGGCACAACATAGCGAAAATACAAAATATGAGGTGTAGATAGATAATAGAAAGCTAAGCAAAAGTATTGCCATTGTCTAGGCGTGTGGAATTCGCCTAACAAAAGGAGTGTAGGTTTACCTCTGCCTATTCAGTTATATTGAACAAATATGAGTTACATTGGTAATTATATGTTTAGGGGTGGAGTGTGGTAATTCGAATATATTGCTAACTTTCTTTTGTTAATCGTTTGGTATGATTCATTTGTGCGCGCCAGTGAGATTTGATATAAGATATGTTAAATTGGTTAGAATCAGTAACATGTTGAGCATAGCGCCACACAATTTAATAAAATCTATTATCCGCATTCTATTTGTTGTCATTTAAACAGTTTTTTTACAAAGATCAATTCCGATTATAAGATAAAACGTTTTATGTGTGTTTTATAGGGCATTACAGTAGGGGCATTCCAAATTATCTCCAGGATGACGTCATTCATAAATCAATAAATGAAAAATATTGGAACCGGGCCCATTTGTTACCAAGAATTGGTATTTGTCTATAAGAATATAACAGATAAAACTTGTTCGTAGTAGGACTAGTATTTGTGGTTTAGGTTCAATAATATAGGTTTACCTTTTTTAAATCACAATATGATTGGCAACCTGTGTGTTTCTGTCGATATTTTTGGCATGAAGTTCAGCTGGGAAAAGTGTAAATATATCATAACCAGGCTTGGCCGTTGACATATTGCGCCTAGGAACGTGGATTTCATGTATTTTCAGGATTGGGCAAATTTATCATATATATATAAGTGAGTGTTTCTCGACAAATATTTACAGGTTGGAGTTATGATATTGTAAAATGTAACCTGGTTTAGTACCTTATAGCTATTCTTGTATAGATATTCTCGTATATCTTCATCTCAATACTACGATACAAAAGGCGGTGTAGGTCACGTTGATTAAATGAGATGTGTATGCCTAACAGATTTACATGCTTGACTTGATGGTATATACAACGGTCAGGATTGTGACAACAGAACGTGCAAACACCGTCATATGACATCTGGTTAGTTCTTCTAACAACTAGCTTTAATTATTCTGGCATTGCGGTAGTCAATTGACCATCGTGTCCATAAATTTGAGCATTGCTCCTTTGTTTTTTTAGTTTTAAGTTGCCTAGTGATTCACATAGGAAGTATTTATTCAGTATGAAATGATCGATTTTGGAGTTTAAACTGGCAAATATGTTCCGGAAGGTTTACTCCAGTAACCCCAGTTCGCCTCGGAACAATAACCCGGAGGTTCATAGGTCAAGCATCGGATGGCAAAAGGGTCCCCGGCAGTTTGGTACTGTGACACCACCACGAGCTAGAAAACCATTGATAAGAACTTCATCATTTGAAAATGATGTCAAAGTCCCACCTGTTTCTAGAAGGGATCGGTCAATTATTCCGGCCATTCCTAAGTTTGCCGAAGGACTTAAATCAGTTGAAGTGAGAGAAGGAGCTTTTGCGGAGTTGTGCTGCAAGGTAAATGGGATTTATTTGTGTTGCAACTGGCGGCTAGCGGAAATGTGATTCAAGAATGCACAAGGCCATTCCTACGTTAACTTTCAGTCCGACTAAAACTAATGCAATCAAGCCGAACATTTTGAGTAGTTTTGACAAAGGTTTAAATCGACAATATATTATTATATATATTTAGATAACTGGAAATCCAGTGCCGATGGTGACATGGATGAAAGACCGTGATGTGTTGAATCTACCAACTGACAGAATGTAAGTTTTAAATCAGAATAGGCTTAACAGAATTATCATGACGTGGAAAATAGACTATTTGACTGCATTAATATTTTCGAATGCACCTGTGACATTTGTGTAATATACACACATAGTGTGTTGTGTAACTTCTAAACCTGATGTCGAATGGCGGACCAATATGACTTGTACGTGGAAGCCATTCAAATGGCAACTGGGACCATATAATCAACCTACAACTATCTGCTTGTAAAGTTCCGCAATCAATTATTATATAATATTCAAATATCGAGCTTCTTACATATGCAGTCCAATTTTTCAGATATAAGATATTAAACCTCATAATACCATATGTCTCCAGGTCACTAGAAGTTGATGACGAACAATATATTCTCACAATAAACCCTGCAAAAGCAGAAGATCGAGGACGGTACTCATGTATAGCTTCCAATAGATTGGGGAAGGCAAATTCAGCGGCATTGTTGAATGTACACATAAGCGTAGGATTCAATAATGCTGCACGGAAGTTTGGAGGTAAGTCGTTATTATGCTATTTCATTACTATGACGTAATAATAGGTGACGTAATCAATTATGATATATAACTAGGTATGTCAGACGCGGAAGGTGCATAATCACAGCGTAAATTCATAAGGTCATTGGGTTTCTGTCGTGTTTGTGACCCGCGAGATGATTAGGAATGGCTTGGTTAACAATGTGATTGTGCGGAAGCCACCCGCGAACAATTTTAAAACACAGATAGAGACATTTTGTTAACCTGTCATTCTCAGTACCATTTTTGGTAATAAATAACTTGATGCGTTCCCAATATCGAACCATACTCTGATGCTGAATATATGAAACCGTTTTTAACGTTACGATTTTAAATGTTCACAACGGCGTTACACAAGGTTCCTTCCCTCTTATCGCCAGCTAAAAGCGGAAGAACCATCATTGTCCATTTCTGGTGGTTGAACCTGACACAATGACAATGCTTTTCATGAGTTGACTGTAATTATAAAGTGGTGTATTTTCCACTTTTGACCGTCGCCCCAAATACTTTGCAATTCGGTAGATCTTTGCATAAAAATGCTCTTGTGCTTTATAATTTTAGATCGTGACATCAAGTAATTACATAGTAGACACAGCTAATAGTTTATGCTGCTAAAACATATAGTCATATACGATGTTACGATGTGCAATGCATGTGTGTTCCGACGAGAGTCAACAATTAAATTATATGCGACCGTTTTATTTACACACATAAATCTTAGTTCGACAAGCGATCATATAATCCCACAATTTCTTCCAATTAACAGCCTACGCGAATGTGTTCGCGGAAATCCACCCCCTTCTGATTTAAAGGCTTAACTTTATACGATGATAATTAAAATATAATAGGAACTGCTGAAATGCTCGCAAAAAACAACATCGATTTTAGTGATAACAACTAGCTTTTTCCTAATTTTGGTTCTATTACGAATTCGGGGACTGTCTGTATTCGCCAAGTGAATAAACCCCCTGCCCATAAGCCTAAGTCACTTTACACAATTTGAAGTGAAGTAGACAAACAAAATTAGATTCCTCCATATTGGAACACACTTCTGGAGCGCCGAAATAAGTTTGGAGTCATAAGTTATTTCTAGGTGATGGGGATTTATTTTGTTAATATTTTATCCTGCTGATTATATGCATTGCTTACCGTCGACAATAAATGGAATTATTAATAGCATGCATTAATAGTTGAATATTTTGAGGTTGTTAATTACATGACGTGAGCCTCACAAAAAACAGTTCATTTGTTACCTAATTTTGTTTGTGATTGTTCATTGTTTTGTAACACAACAAATTCTAAGTAATAATTCTTACTGATAGATATATTTTTAAGCTGTTTAGTATATTAGAAATAAAATGAGTAGGAAAATAAATATGACAATATTTATTTCCTACTCATTTTATTTCTAATATCTTTCATCCTTTTTCCTGTCACCATAGATAATTTAAAAGTCACATTATAAATCGTATCATGCATACATTTTGATATTATTAGAATGATTAGCTTCAATTGATGAGTTTTATATGGTGCATTTTCATAGCAGTATGCCAAAAATTTGATAAGCACATGCTAGGTTTATATCGTCTGATACGCGCTAATATTATTTACACATAGGATTTGAATAAATAAGGTACGCACATTCTTGGCGCCTTTCGAGTAAACATTCATTTTTTTCTCTGCATCAGGCCTGCATGGACTCAAATAAGAACAATTTATGTACCAAACAATTGTAACACGTAGATTAACCAGACGATGAAGTTAATTTATGACTATTCTTAGCCCAACTTACACTTGTGTTTTAGCAACATTTTAGCGTAAACTTGTAAAACATAGTTTGAATGCAATTTTAATGTTTTACACATGTTAACATCCTGTTGCGTGGATGAAAAAGAACTTGTTCTGGAATGGTATTACACATCCTCAATGGATTAAACTTGGTAGATTTGTGAAATTTTACTAACTTAAGATTCAAAAACAGCGTTGAATAATTTTGTCCGATGTAGATTTGCGTGGCGGTATTGTGGTTGAAGACCATGAAATGAACTGTTACTATTCACATATTATCACAGCATCGGTAAAAGTTGTTATCCGACAGATGGCGCATTGGACTCATTTTGAACGCTGTGAAAACGATGCTATTTGTCTTTCAGCGTATTTACATGAATAAATATAGCTTTACACAATGAATATAAATTCCTTGTGGTTATAAGCAGATTTCTAAAATGTCGATTCACATTTTGACGAAAACAAAACTAGGATATATCATTTTTTGATAGTTCTGGCAACCCAAGGGTTACTATTTTAACGCAGTCTTAGCAAACTAAGTGACAATAGAATCTTCGCTATTTCTTAATCGAATAGTTACCAATAACCTAGTTTTCGATTTCACTCCTAACTTTACGATGAACTAACACACGTTTGTTTATGGGTGAATGAGTATGGCATATACAAACGATGTGGGCAATTGCGAGGAAATTCATCTTTATTTTCAAGCTATACTCGAAGCATCTGAATAAAATTATTTTCCGATTCTGATAGTATCTACGTATAGTGTTAATCCATTATAATTATTCAACAAGAATTTGGGATTTCTTACATTCTTGTGAATCAGGCGTTGTCAGATGCTTTATAACATTATCTCAAATATATCATGTTCAATCTGAAATATCTGCTATGAGTCTTTCAACTGTCACATGATAGCTTATAATGTACATTGTACATGGATCGTGAAACCGCAAGTATTGGGTGTGAGTGAACTGAGAAAAGTTAAAATATATGTCCAATAATATATGATGAATTGAGACCAGTACCACAAATAGTATTATTGATTTATGTTGCTGTGATAAAATATTAATAAAAAAACACTGATTTTGAAACGTATTTGCAAATTGCAAAGGATGAAGGCGATCACATGACTGTTGTGTTGTAATGTTTTTCTACGACCAAACAACTGTTAAAACACTTACGCATGCAAAATACATCAGCCATGATTGAGAATGCTATCTGGAATTGTTTGCAAATATCATTCTACTATATTATTTATAATATCATATCATACTTTTTCAAGAACTCAAACAGAAATAAACTTTAGTTTGTTTTTCGCACCTATACCCATATAATTAACGAATTAAGGTTTTTAGTAAATCCGACTTTGACTTTTTACACAGAAATCTCGTGAAATCTCAGAATTTTGTGGCTTAACTAGAGTAATTTGACCCCGTAGAAGGGTAAAATTACCCCACGGGTCGCTTTCAAAGCTGGGGTTCAGTGGTAAACTAAAAAGAAGCGAGCAGAATTACGCTTAGTGGTTACGTTTCACCGATCACAAACAAAACAATTATTCACTTACCAAAGTAATAGTTTCCTGATACCTCCCAGTTCTATAGAGTAAAAACTACTAGACATTTTTAGTGTGTATCTAATATCGTCGTAATTTTTTTGCTATGTGACTTTTTGATTTTCTCGATATGGAAAGTAGTGGACACATTTTGTGTAGCTGTCATGAAATTGAATCCGGTTTTGCGGAGAAGAACATTCACATGTATCTCATTCCTAAACAAGGTAGAGCGGAATGCAGGTCGATAATTCACGATTGTACTCTTGAAAAACGTATTTGATGACGAAAGTGGGGGGTTCCGACCCCGCTTTTTCATAGCGCCTTGTTATGCCTACTAGAACGTTGAAATATGTCGTCGCCCTGGAAAAATACTTGTTTTGGTCATATTGGAACATATTAATTGGTGGCGTATAACTATACTAACGTTAAATTTGCATTGTTTCTGTTCGAGTTGCGGATGCTATTTTAGTTTCCATTGATAAGCATTATCTAATACCCGCTCTTAAAGATTGTAATAATTGTAATTTTACGGAAACGTCAATTAGTACTTAAATTGTGACGTATAAATCAACTTTCAGGATGTTTAACAACAGAAACTGGTAATTTGAATAGAAATGTGGTTTTTCCCACGGAAAAGGTCTGTTGATAGTCTTTAAAAACCAATTATTTGCTCCTAATAATGAAGCTAAATGTACCGTAAGTGAGCGTAACTGAGGTGAATTCATTTATGAAGTTGTATTTCATCCCTCCACTTACTTATTTCTGTGCTTTTATCATCCCAGTACCCACCAACACTAAGAAACGCGTAACTAAGTTTATCTTCAATATTAATTGCAATATGATGTTATATATATATATATAAGCCACCTTTGGGGCCTGAAATATAAATGGCTCACTCGCAACAAAGTACAATTTCTTTCACATTTTATACCCGTATTATTTTCTCTGTTTGAATATTTTATGCTGGGACCTTGACCTTGATTTAGGTAAGTAAGCGGTAATATGTTGACTTGTCATACTGACATATGTGAACTTGTGACATTGTCTATAATTTGAATATAGAATCAGTATGCTTCTATACCAAAGTTCAGTACAGACATTGTTTGTATTGTACCTGTCTTGTTCAGATTTCTCTCTGATTTTAAAACTTGATTTTCTATCACTTTCCGCACAAAATATGCAATAAAAATTGAAATTGAAAAATAACCAAGCGATCAAAGATAACTTTGAATAGCGGAAGACGTTTTATCGTATTAATATGAGTCACGATTTTCGTACGCGGGATTTTGATGACAATCTAAGATATATGATAAAATGCAAAAATCAAGCGCCTAAGTTCAAGTGTGCTGTAACCATTATTAGATTTTTATCTGATAGTAAAATGTCCGTTATACAAGGTTTTCCGAGCAATTTTGATGATGAAATTTCTTTTTTAATTTTATTTTTTGAAAATTTGTTTCATTTATTGCATTCTTGAGTAACGTATAAACAAACTTCCAACCGATACAAAGGCAGTATGGCCCAAACTTGCTGGCATTCCGAAATATTCATTCGGGTATTAGTTATTTGTGAGTATATTAGCATTGATACACACTGATAAAATTGTACACATTGTTAAATATAGATATTCAGATATGGAAGT